TGTGTGTGTGTGTGTGTGTGTGTGTGTGTGTGTGTGTGTGTGTGTGTGTGTGTGTGTGTTTGTTTGTGATGTATGTATGTTTTGTATTTGCAAATCACATTGGGTTTGTTCACACTGTGAATCATAGGGCAAAACAATATTTTGTGTGATGTTACACTTTGGCACTCTTGCTTGTTGTTCCAGACTAAAATATCTCATGCAAATATTTAAAACGTTTAGGTCCCCACCACATGATTACAAAGGACTTCACTGATTCCCTTATCTTTAATCTAGCAATGCCATTAGCCAAAGGTTCCATGTATCAGTCTAGACCTGTTTAGTCACTGATTCAAAACTGAGGATCAGTTGCATTCATTGTATTCATAATAAACTTTATTTATATAGCAAAATCCTTGTGGAAGTCTATTGTAAAAAGATATGTCTTAATGCTTCTTTTGAAACTGTCAACAGATGTAGAATCCGTAATGCTTTCAAGGAGACTGTTACTCAGTAACTCACTGTTACTCACTGTGTATTTTATTTCTTGAAAAAGGAACAATCAAAAGGTTTGTGTCTTTTTTTTGGCATATCTGCCATGTAAGATCCAGAAGAATAGCCAGTTAGTTAAAGACTAGTAAAATAATTTAAAAAATAATTATGTGACATACAGGCAACCATGGTGAGATTTTGAAATTGGAGTAATGGAAATTGGAATAATGAAGAATCTTTGGTTTTCATTCGAACACGTGCTGCTGCATTCTAATGTGCCAATAGCCTTCTGAGACACCAAGAAGAGCATTACAGTACAGTCCAGCCTGGAGATAAAAGCATGCTTTAAATTTTTCTGTGTCGGGTCTAGGAGAGAAATGGTCTGACATAAAGATGCTTTAGTAATGTTTGTAATGGGTCTGGTTGGAGTTGATGATAAAAACAAGGTTTTTACCTGTTTCCTGGTATTAAGTGCAAATGATTTAAAGAGATCAGGTTTTTCTTTCTCAGCCTTTGCTTCAATAGGGTCTCAATTTTGCCTTGATTTAAATGAAATTTCATGCAGTTAATGTTGATTTATCTGTCATCATTTGCAGGACCAGCATGTCTAGGTGAAAAATGATTATACCGCCCATTATTTTGCAACGTACCATACAAGGAACAACACACAAACGCCAATATGCTGCACACACAAAGTGCTAGTGCACTAGATCACTAGTGCAATCTAGTACAAAGCTAGTCTGCTCAAAGTGCCAACAGTACCCTTAGTTAGATATAGGCCTCTTCCAAACAGTTGAGAAGTTCCTTCACGGTAAAAGTATCAAACATTTACAAATACCAAAAACTTTATTAAAATGCTAACTTTTTCAAGAAATGAATTGAACTTACTCATCCCTGTGGTAACAGCACAATTATTGGTTGTGCAACAGCATTTACATGTTTTTGGCCATTAGTTTCACTTTTTTCTGGTGGTATGCATGCATTCAAACACAGGAAAACATTGTATTTCTTGCATTTCCATCTCGACACACCTTTTGGACAGAGGTGACACAGTGAATTGGCAAATGTCTACAGTTGTCATACCACACATCTGGTTGTGGCTGTGAGGGTCTTGGGGTGTAGTGTTTCTTCTGAGATGACATTTGTGGTGGAGAAGTGGATGATGGTCGCTAATCTATTATTGCTAATCTATTATTGCTAATCTGTTATTGCTTATCTATTATATAACATTGAAGAAAATGGAGTAGTTGTGTGACACAACAATGGTTTACATGTTTTGAAATTTGTTGTCTTTGCTCAGCATTGAGATCATGACTTTCTCTCACAGTTTTTCTTTCAAAATAAATGTTTATTCTTCTCATTGACCTGATTGTGAAAGCAAGGTACATTTTAGACAGGTCACCAGCGTATCACAGGACCAACATATACAGGCAAACAACCATTCACACCTGCACTAAATTAAGAGTTACCTGTATTACTTTGAACTTAAAGGTCCAGTGTGTAAGATTTAGGTGAATGGGAACTATTGGCAGAAATTTAATGTAAAATAATTCTCATGATGTTTTCACTAGTTCGTTTCATCTAAATTGTATAAAATTGTATGAATTTATATTTACATCGAAGGACCCTCTCTACGGAGGTCGCTATGTTTTTTACATTAGTCCAGACTGGACAAACTAAACACCTTTTGAGTTTTTATGACAATAAAAGGCTTATTTTTCATGTTTGGAAGGAGAGGGTGAGGTGAGGGATGTTCAGCTGCAACATGCAATTTCAACAGTAGATATCACAAAATTCTACACACTGTACCTTTAAATACTTTACACCAATATCCATTTATCAGTTATTTACAATGTAATGTACTACAATCCATTGCAATAAATTTTAACCTCACCATATGGCATTCTGAGTTTTGATATCGTGCTGGAGTAAATTCCCCTCTACAGTAATTGTTGGGCTGCATTTGTCATCACATAATTTAAAAACAATAATAAGACCTACGCATAAATGCACTGTATGAATGTGTGTGAATGGGTGAATGGCAAAACTGTACTGTAAAGCACTTAAAATGGTCATCAAGCAAATCATTTACCATTTACATTCAAAGTCACAGTGGCATAGAATTGATATCATATGCTTTCTCCAAAAGCTATTTAAAAAAAATAAAGCTTTCCTGCTTTCTCCTGTTCTGTCTTTCTTGTCTTGTTAATTTCCACGGTCGCCTCTGCTCCGCAATCATGACATGTTTCTTGACCCTGTGAACAACAGAACTGAGGATCTGAGGGCGTCCCAGTACATGTCACTTAAATGCACTGACCTTTATTAGATGCAGATATTTGGGCTGTCATGACTAAACATATGCTCTGTGGTGGGAAATGTAGAGAAGAGAGCTAACCAGGATTTTAGAATCTGACTTTTAGTAAACTGAAGGTTATAACATTGAGACAGTCAATCCACTGTTATCAAAAAGCCAAATAAAGTCATAAAGCTATTGTGGATTGATTTGACATGAACCTGTTTGTATTTTACTATTGTAAGGTGTATAATTTAATTTTTTTGCCAAACCTAATCATTTTTCTGTCTCTTTTTTTCTATTTTCACTATGTTTCCTGTGCCGGCTTCAGCTTGTGCATCAGGTTTCTTTAAGGCCTCACAGGGAGACCAAAAATGTCTGCAGTGCCCCATTAACAGTCGAACCACAAGCGAGGGAGCAACCAACTGTGTCTGCCGCAACAACTACTACCGCTCTGACTCTGACCCTCCGCAGATGCCCTGTACTAGTATGTATATACCAACTGTCACGACAACACATATATAGATTGCAGTACACCAGCTGTAAACATCAACTCATAATTTAATAGGAGCAATTCTAGGGTCAGACCTCAAAGGATACTAAGCCCATAATGAGAATGTGACATGTATACAGTGGCTTGCAGTACCTCAGTGTTAAAAAACGTTGCTAAATCACAAAATCTGCTTGTTAACACTTAATATTTTAATATTTTTCTATGTATAATGATTGAATTTGTAATGGTAAAACGTTTGATTAATTATTAGTATGAAAGATGAATTTTACACCACAAGTTTCAAACAGTATTATCATTAGAAGCAGCCTTATTAAATTGGGGTTGAGGTCAATTGCACAATAATCATTTTACAGAATTAACAATAGCAGATTTCAACACATCTCTTTTGGAGATGACCTTAAAGGTTCAGTGTGTAGAATTTAGTGACATCTAGAAGTTTCATGTTGCAGCTAAATGCTCAGGATCTCACCCTCTTCTTCTAAACATGAAAGAAAACCTGTTTTGAACTTCAGTTAAAAAAACATGGCAGCCTCCACAGAGAGGACCCCCCTCCATGTAAATATAAAGTTTTTAGATATAAAGATTCTATGGTAAAGAAAACAACAATTCATACAATTAAGATGAAAAACACCAGTGAAAACATTACTAGTATTATTTTATATTCAATTTCTGCCAAAAATCCCTCTCAACTAAATGTTACACACTGGACCTCTAAGTTAGTGAACATAATGACTGAGTACGTGAACTGGGGACCCAAAAGCACAACTCTGAAACAGTGTCCGGTTTCCAGTGGTCATTTATTTCTAGTCAGGGTTCAGTACACAGAAGACAAAAAGGCAAAGGCAAAGGTATCCAAAAGATGTGAGGCTAAGGCTAGCTAAATAAAAAAATGTGTGTGTGTGTGTGTGTGTGTGTGTGTGTAACCATGACAGTTAAATTAAAGGAATGATGGAGGCTGGGCTGCTGGTGACAGCTGATGGGCCAGACAATACCCTTAATCAAAAGCCTGGGGGAGAAAAAGAAATAGAGTACAAATAAAAAATCCACATCACACCACAAGTAAAACAGATTTTGATAAATCCTACAAAAAAACAAACAACACTTACCAGCAGTTGTTGAGCTGCAGCAGGGGTGACTGGTGCTGCTGAAGGAGCAGTACTTGAGAAACAGTAGCTGGAAAGCAGCTGGTACTTGGGTGCATATTAAATAATCAAAGAGACAAAGATCAACAAGTCAAATTTAAAGTCAGTAACCTCACGTCAAAGATAAAGAACAGACTTACCAATTGGCTGTCACTGGCAGTGACGTCACATACAAGATAGAGAACTAACTGATTGGCTATCAAAGTAAGAGAATCAACCTACGGATTGGGTGTCAGGTGACGTCTTGAAGATGGAGAACGGACTCACTGATGGGATTGAAATGGTGGAACGTGATTTGGCAGCGAGATGAAAGATGGACACTGATGGCTTACTGATTGGCCGTCAAAAGATGGAAATGAGGAAACATGATAATACACGAGGAGACAGTCTATCGCTCCCCCAGCACCACTATAGCTGCCACGTTCATCAAAGTGTTTTGTATGATTATAATACTGTGCATGTTGCTACTGTGACTTTTTACTAGATGTGCTCCTGCGAATCATGTGTAGTAAAATAGTGTCATAGATGCCTTTATCCACATCAAACTACATTAATTAATTTATAATACAACAGAAAATGAAATACAGTTGAGGATCACGGTAAACATGATCTTCACTGTGAGAATATTAATCTTTAGTGCATAATATTTAGTGAATATAATTTCCAGTAGAAATGTTAGAACTGAGAAAGCAAAATAGAGTAGTAATTCATTCAACAGTGTGCAGTTTGACTGTAATGATGGTGATGGAGGAAAGATTGTAACGTAGTCACACTAACACTTAGTTTGTTTTGTTTTTTTGTTTGGTTCCATGTCTCATKACTAACTCTCCTGTCATTTCAGGGCCTGCCCTTCTTCCTGCCTTGCTATCACGTCATTTCCCTCACGTGGTTTTC